ATCTGCCATGATTATTATACTGTGTGGGTGTGAATCGCACAGCTCTTGAAATTGCCTCCTCTGGGGAAATGTCACGAGCGGTGCTCCAGCACAATTCCCAGTGTCTGAACACTGTTTGTGTTGAATGTTTCATGCCACTTTTCTCAGTTTCACCAACAAATGAACACAGAATTAATATTCACTCAAAACTTTCCTCTATTTAAGGTCAGTGATTAGATTTTTCTTCTTTCTCTGCTCTGCCCAATATGTCGGGTCCTGTAGCTTAGTGGTTAGAGCACTCGCCTCGCAAGCGAAAGTACCTGGGTTTGATTCCCGGGCAGGGTGAAACGTTGGGCAAGATTCCTTATTCTACATGCCTCTGTTTACCTAGCAATAAGTAGGTAATAATTCCTTATAAAAAATAATTTGGTTACTCATTCCATGACTGTTTGTGGGACACTGCTGTGTGCAATTGGCTGCCGTGTTTCGCTCACAAAATATATAATCAATTCACTTTACAATATATTCTGTGAAGCACTTTGAGAAGTCTAGAATAATAATCCTTACATTTGATATAGCGCTTTTCACGTCTTCTAGACGTGTATTATTATTATAATTATTATTATTAGAAGACATTTTAAGACATTATATCAACTGCAAGGATTATTATTATTATCTGTAACTGCTGGTGTAGATCTGAAACGTCTATTGCAGTGTTGTTAGATTTTAAAGATTTTGATCTTAATTGTTTTAATAACTAGAAGAGCTGTGAGCTGACCTGAAATTCTAAATGAAGTCATAAGTGAGTTGCAGTTGGCAGGACAAGTGGGATATAAATTGTCTCCATTGGTTCTTGTATAGCCCTATGTATAGTATTCAGTTTGGCCCAGTATTTAAGTAAAATAAGTTTGCATCAAAATTAAATGTTCCCTGTTGATCGTGGACTGTTCTATCCTTTTAAGATTCTAATGCCACCTCTTTGAAATATGAAGAATATTTTTTGGCGATATTATCATTACATGTGGAATAAAATGCTTGGCAACCAGATGGCTTGGTGCAAAACCTGCCACTTTACTGCAATCTAATAAACAGCAAATTAGAAACAGCCAGCTAAATGTAACTCTGGAATGGTAGGAAAAGTAGTCCCAAAGAATAAAATGTTTACACAGGTTTTATTTTGGAGTTGAATTAGTGCATTTCTGAGTAGACCTTCTGCAGCTTTTATTAATTGAGCACTTTTCATGTGAAAGAACATCTGAGAGTTTGACAAATACAATGCATTGAGCAGAAAAATATAAAAAAACAGGTAGCCCTTTGGAGCACAGGTTCATTTGCTATGAGTTGCCCACCTTGCCTGGCTTCTGGTGCTGACTTGCCAAATTACTGTACTAAAAGGTCATCTCTGAGATCAGGTTCTGCCTTTCCAATGCACAGAAAGAGTACTCATGTCATTTTGTGCCCACTGTGCTTGCGTATTTTTGCATCCTCGCCGCACTGTGTGCAGGAAGTGTTGCTGACCTTCACTTCTAGAGATCCGGCATGAATTTTGACTTCTCCACTAACCATTTGAAACCTCAAACATCGGAGGGTGTATAGGGAGTGTGTGATAGTCTCAGAAGCATGGATGGTATAGGCTGGAAGTTAGGGATGGAAAAGACAACTGAAAGACGATGCTGTAAGAAGGATTTGAAAACCTGGGCAAAGATGTTAAACTTGATTAACTGAGGTGCTGGGAGCCAATGAAGCCCGATGAGGATGGAAGTCATGCTTATGCGAAATAGAGCTTGGTTTTGGAGTTTGGGATTATTTGAAGTTATCGTAGAGTAAAACTAAGGGGCTGTTAAGGAATGCATTGGAAAGTTCTATCCAATTCTAACTAAAAATTGAAGTCTACTTTTGCAATACTAATACGAACTCACTATTACTATTTTGACTGACTCATTACATATTTTTCATTGAATCTTACATTGAAGGGCTGTAATGAGACAATCTTGTATATTCTCAAGGTGAGGTGAGATCAATCTTTGTTTATTTCTACCAGAACACTTTGTCCAGCAGCGATAGTTGGCCCATTACTATGATGTTATCTATTGGTCTTTAGTTCAGTTTTAGCATCTTATTAACATTGAAAATTGTGTTCTGTTCATAATCTGAACATCTCTACACCTAACATTTACATATGTCATGGTCTGATATTGGTCAGTATCAAGCAGCTTGTTTTGACTTGTTCTGGCACGTTGGGCAGAATAGTAAGAATTTAAATTAGTCTGTTTATAGGCAATGCAGTTAATTTAGCATGGACATTCACAAAGAGATTTTACTTCACCAATAGATTGATACATATTTTGTAAAGGGAAGGAGAGTTGTAAATTGTGGCCTTTGAATCTGTTCAAGGAATTATTCAGAATACAGTAGTGTAACTCTTGTTTTCCACTATGCAGGTTTTAACAATCCTATAATAATCCTTGTATTTGATATAGCCCCTTATCACATCTTGACGTCACAAGTGCTTCACAGAAAATACTGTAAAATGGATTGACTGTTATTTTATCGGCGAAACGCAGCAGTCAATTGCGCACAACAATGTCCCACAAGCGGTCGTGGATTGAATGACCAATCTTTTTGAGTGACCAATTTTTTTTGTAGGGATTATTACCCCCGGAAAAGCAATCTGCCAATCGACTAACAACCGTGATTCTATTTATTGCTAGGTAAACAGAGGCGTGTGGAGTAAGGAAACTTGCCCAACATTCACCCTGTCTGGGTGCTCTAACCACTAAGCTACAGGACCCCAAACTATTTTAAGATAGCTGCTGGGAAAAATATTCAAAGTACCACATTTTGGAGTGTTGTTTGCCAGGACAGCAGCAATATTTCAGGGTTGATTAAGTTGTTACTCAAACCTGATTCAATACTGTTCTGTCAAACACTCATGGTGTTTATTTTATTGACTTAATATCGGGGAATCGTGTAGCTTCTATAACATATACTATAATACTAATTGCAATCGAAAATGTTTTAAATGCTTGTTTAATGTGGAATTTGTAGTATCAAAAGTAGTTTCTGAAGTTAAAATAATAAAACGATTGAATCTTTTTAGCATGCTAGTACTGTAATTCTTTACTATATTTTAGGTTGTGTGTTTGCAGCAGTACATCTATATTTCCTTCAGATCTTCCCTTTTCTCTCTGGATTTAATACCTCCTTTGTCACAAATTCTTCCTGGCAAGCCGTAATTAATATGTTCCATCAATTATGGTAAACATTGGTTCATCGAAGCACTGCCAGAAAGGATGGAAAGGAGGAGGAGAAATTGTCATAGAACATTTACTATAAACAAATAATACAGTATTTTTTTTCTCCAGTTGTAAGAATCTTAGCTCTATGGTTCATCGCTATTTATTATAAGTACTTTAGTCATAGGCCAGAGCTGTAGGTTTCTTTATACACATTTTGCAATTTCTTGCTAGAAGAGAGAAAATCAATTTTTTAAAGCAACCAGTCTCACTGATCCTCATGTTATGGAAAATAATCACTTCTAAGAGATTCTTCTTAGATGATATTACCTTAACGTACTTCATAAACCAAGTGTATAACAATGGTAGGGAGTAGTTAATTTAAGTGTATATTGTTTGTCATTTTGTTATGGGAAATTGAGGATCAGGAGTGAAATTCTTGCTCACAGACAGAGAAGCAACATCATAGGATGCATTGTATTTGAGGTTGCAACAGCAGAACACAATGAAACCACTAAGAGAGAAGATAAGAAAATAACCTGGAAAAGATAGAGAGGCAGGCAAACTTATCCCCATATAAAAAGCTAAATGTGCTTTAAAATAAAAAGAGATTTTATGTATGTTTGTTTTTTTTAAAAAAATCTATCTTCGATACTTAAAGTTTGAGATTGAAAGCATTATTCATTTTATATTTAAAATATTTTAACTGTTTGGTGATTTAAAGGCAACAATCATCTTTGTCAGGTTTTTGTTGTCCCAAAACGTCTTGCATTCCATGCTTGAAAAGGCATCATTGTGCGCTGACGCGCTTTGAAGTGCAGTGGAATGCAAGTGGAGCTGACACAACCATAATTAGCAAACCTTCACTATAATGGAGTGCATTAATACAAGATTCTACCGTATTTTAAGTGCAAGTTGTTGATGTACTTAATCATATTAATCTTTTATTGACTGTTCACTGAAGCAATCGCACCCAAATTTTCAAGCATTTACCATTTTGCTCCCCGATATCTTCACCTCCCAGATTGGTTAGCCAGGTGTGGAGGCTGTGAAAATGTCCAGTTAGTTGTGTGTCTGCCCATATGCCCTTTGAAAGTCCAGCATGTATGACTGCAAAGGCTCCAAAAAAGATTAAAATATTTTTTTCAGAATAATGTATCTATTTAATCGACGATCTGTTGGGAAAGTTTAATTCAACATGTCATGAAAAGAATGAATATTCTTGTATATGCCACTTTGGTGAAATTATACTTGAGGGTTCCGATTATTATGTTAGGTACTTTTCCTATTTCTTTTATCTCCCCTCACCCCTCTGAAATTAAATTGTATTTTACTTCCAGATTATTTTGTGGTAAGAGATTGACAATTTCATGGTATTAAGGGTCGTCTTTATTTGATTTTACAGTGGAGTTCTGTGGGTGAAAAGACATAGGTCATTTTTCTCACCCATATCTGGAAGTCCTGGCTAAAAGTGGTACTGCCTTCATGTGAAATTTTAGTAGAAGTGGCCATTTTCAGTTAATCCATAGATATTTAAATTGTATTTCACAATTTGCAATACCTTGGGACGTTCTCTCAACGTGAAAGGTGCTATACAAATGTAAGTTTGCATTTTAGAAAGGAAAGAATGAAAAAAGACCCAGAAGCCTATAAAGTCTGCTCTGAGGAGAATCTCGTTGTTTCCCCCAACACACACCTGTGCGCACAGGTTACTTGGTAGTTTATTAACTATGACGACTGTGTAAGTGCAAATGTAAATTTCAAGTCTTAATCCTTTTTCTACAGGTCGGAAGAGGAGCAACTTAGGAAAATGATCAGAGCAGATCATGAGAGAGCTCTCGAAGAGGCAAAGGAAAAATTGAAAAAGTCCAAAGATGAGATCCGAGCAGAGATTCAGACAGAGAAAAACCGCTTGGCACAGAATATGAAGAAAAAGGAAGGCAAACAGCTGCCAGTTGTACCTATCCCCAAACTGTTGGGAATCAACGATGGGGACCCAGGAGATCCAGACATAAGAGAGAAACGAGAGAAAATCAAAGAGGTATCTACAATGCAGATAAAAACTCAATGTACATACTTGTATTGGAATGTTAAACTTATTTATCCTGTTCACTCTGACCCTAGTATAACTCAATGTTTTGGATCCATGAAATTGGACCCCACATTATACAAGTCTGCAAAATAAAAATGGCTGCCTATCCTGCTTTCTGCAGGGCACTGTAGATGTCACTTCTGGTGTTTCCTGGAGGGCTTTCTGCACATGCACACAGAGTACCGGAAGTTGGAAGTGTACTGCATTTCAAGTATAAAGTGGTTCCACAACCTATAAGTGGACTTACGCTACAATGAGTTGTTATAATGGGGGTTCACTTTTAATTTTTCAGTTCCAGAAAACCTGCTAGCTTTTAGCTATAACTGGTAAAAGTTAAATCTGGGATTTGTATATGAAACAGATGTGCTACTTTTCATTTCAGAATTAAAAGCTCAATGGTGATTTTTTTCAATAACCTGTGCTTTGCAGGCTAGGCAAAACTGTTCCACACATCTTGTATCTTTTATACATTTATCTGAGGGTGTTAGTTAGGACTGCTCTACTGATATAGCACTAGTTTACTCACCCCTGCCCTCTTGACTTCAACTTACTCCAATTTCCTCTGAAATGCAGCACTGTTACACAGATTTTTTTTGGTCATCTGGGTGTCTGACGTATACAAAATACCATCACCATCTTTATGTATATTCAAACAGAGTTCCATATATGCCACCTATATATGGAAATTCCAGTGTCAGGAAATGGAACACGCTCTCTCCACGGAGAGATGATCTTACTTACCTACATCTGGGATGTATTAGGCTCAAGAACCAAGGCTTGGGGACACTAGAGTGTGTGTTGGGATATTGCTAGAATTTAACCAGCTAAAAGCGCATAGCTTGCTATTGAAATGTTGCACTGTCTGGCAAGATTCCTGCTGCTTGTCCTACTAGGACCACAGTACCCATTAGAGCTTTGGCTTATAGCGTTAACAGGACTTGATTGGAAAGAATCCATTTTATCAGTTCTGCCCCTCCAAAGTTCTGCTGATTAGCAGGTGGGATGATCTATCATCTGCAGTGTTGGCTCAGTAATTGGGCTACTAAGACTGCCATTGAGGAATGCACAGACTCTTATATACTGACCATAAATTGTATGTTTCTCTGTACACTTGTAGTGATGCTCCTGAATTGCAGAGGAAATTGAAGCACTGAATGTGCATAAACAGGACTGACTAGCCTTAGGCGTTAGAGTGTCAACTAAGTGGTGAATGGTTTCAGATTTTGAGGTGTACTTGGGCAGATCTGACCTAGCATTACTTCACTACTGATTGTAGCTGAATTAGAGTGAGTTTAGTTGGAATGTGCAGAAATGTTTCATTTCAGACTAGGTTTAGTTGGGGGGGAAAAAAAGCATGGGTAAAAATAACATTCATGTATTCATGTATGATACTGTTCTAATCCCTATTCTTATAAGACCTTCAAAGCAAGGTTGTAGATTCTGTCCACTGATTTTTGTGGAAATGAACACTGCATCAACAATTAGATGAAGCAAGAAGGCAATACTTTCTTTGCTGAAGTTGAACCCATTTTCGAAGAGAGAAGTAGCCAGTTTAATCAACCACTTCACTTTGTGAGGGAAAGCAATCTGTCTAGGATAGATTGTTTTATTCTGGTTTTAGAGCTTCAGACTGTCTGCCAACTAACGAGGCAGGTCAATTGCTAGACAAGAATTTGTGGTAATCTTGGTAGTGCGATACTTAGCAAGGTAGATCTGCAGTATGCCAGGCACTGCTAATAATAGACCAGACAGATGGCTTAATGCCACAACTAGGAGTGGGAATTCTTCCTGGCTCTCGTTCACCCTGCAGGCCAAAGCCCTAATGGGTTGGGTGCACCTATTTGGACAGTTGGCCAGAAGCTTGCGGTCAGTGCTCGCAATGGTAAGCAATGCAGTTTTAGAATTAGGTAGTCGAGGTACATTTCCCCACCCTCCTCCAGACAGAGAAATTTTCATGTGTTGGTATAAATATGTGGAACTCTAGGCCTAGTTTGGATACTTTTAAATATGGCATTTACCTGAAACCCCATTTGCCCAAGTGCTCCGAGACCTTACCTTACATGAAGGACGCAACATGAATGTAAGTTGTTAACCAAAGAAAAAAATGGAAATTGATGAGTGGTTGAGTATCACATGTGCAGGCCTAATTTATGGCCCAAAGATATAAGTTTTGTTATATAGTTTTTCAGCTTTATAATAATTTCAGTAACAGTAACAGTAATCATGTGTATGCATTTATATTCCCATCTAATGAATCTGATTGTATTAAGTTTTTTTCACCAGTTCCTCAAACAACAAATTACAACAACAAATTACATTTGTATAGCCCCTTTCATGTCAGGAGGACATCCCGAGGCACTGGTGTGTACGCATTGCAAACTATTGTGTTAGTTATTTTAAAGTTTTCTCCTTTCCTGTTCCAAAGGCATTGATTCTTGCTCAGGCAGGGTTATGTGGATAACACTGTTTTCCAATTTGTTACATTTTTGCATATGTGAGCCTAGCTAAGTGAATGTTTGCATGTTCGACTATAGTTAAGTCAAATCCTGTCTGTATTGGGCACTTTTGAAGATGGAGGTCATTGAATGAGCAAAGTATCAAACTTTCAAATTTGTTGGCTAAGTATTAAATCAGGCAGTGCTTTTACAAACAAAGGCATAGGGAAGCCTGCTGATTCAGGTTTTAGATTTCTGGAAGAGCTGTCATCCCTTTACTAAATTTCAAAAATATAAATTGTCAGGGAAGGCAAAACCTTTGTTTCAATGTTGTAACACAGCTGGCACAGAAATTAAGTATGTACCACACTACATCATTAACATTAGATTGATCTCAGATTTTCAGAGGAAATCAGATTTTAAGTCATCATTTTCAAGTCGATCAATGCAAATTCGATAGAATTAACTGACCTATTTCTTTGAATTTTTTTTAACCAACCAATTACCATGCATTCTGGCATATCACTAAACCTCAAATGCTGATAAGGGAAAACGTTGATAAAAATGATGGTGTTCAGACTGACATTGCAAAGTACAAAAACTGAGCAAGTGTTAAAATAGTATTCCTCTATAGAGGTGGAAGGCAGTCAGTATTTAAAGGTTCAAAGTTTTTAATTATTTTGGAAGTGGATGGATGAATTACTAAATTGGAATTGCTGCTTTAATAAAAATTCTGAAGAATTGTTTGTTAAATTTGATATTACATTTCTTCAGTAAGGGTGTAATGATGCAAGATAAATTGAAATGTGACTAACCAAAGCTAGATATTACAAAGGTTCAAAGACTTAATTTTATCTGCACATATGATAGATTGAATCAAGTGCTAACTGTTGTTTTTATATAAGTGATCCTCTCCTCCCTCTCACTGAGTTTTTTTTTCTCATCTGTGCTTCTGCGCAGGAACAGTGACTTGGCTCCATTTCCATGTTAACAAATTCTGGCCATTGCCTATAAAAATAATAATAATCTTGCATTTGATATAGTGCCTTATCACATCTTCAAGATGACTCAAGAGCTTCACAAAATATACTGTAAACTGTAGTCACTGTGTATTTTGTGGGCGAAACGCAACAACCAATTGCACACAGCAGTGTCCCACAAACAATCATGGAGTGAGTGACCAAAGTATTATTTTTTTAAAAGAATGATCATTCCTCCTCCTTGACGTTATTTATGGCACGTGATGTTTTGGTGGAAACTGACTAAATCAATAAAGTTATTAGTCAATGCTTTCAATTTAAATGTCTTAACACTGAAAAGTTCCTCTTTTTTCAAATAAAATCATGGGATCCTTAAAACAGGACAGATTAATCTTAGGCTAACTTTTCACTGAAGGATTATATCTTCAACAGTTCATCAGTATGTCATTGGAGTGTCAACCTTGATTACTGACTCCCAATTATATGTAGACAAGATACACTTCCTTAGTTATGTGCCTCTCTTTTTGATATCATTAATGAGCATCCCAATTGTGTTCAGATAATGTCCACCTCAATCGTTTCTTGAACAATATTAAAAAGACCAATTTTAGAGATTTGCGCATGCAAGTAAAAGTACTATTGTTTTGATAAAAGAGCTAAATATAACCATGAAAAAAAGAATAACCACTCTCCCAAAATAGGCCAAATTTCAGATTAAACTTTGTAAAGGTGCCCCAGTCCTTCCCGAGAGAGGCAAAGGAGATCTAAGCAAAATACATTAAAATGCCAGTAAATGGTCAACTGGAGGAGAATGACTAAATACAAGTATAGAAGCATTAAGCTTGGCCAAAGAGCCAATTTCTCCAAATGTTTTCTTTCCCTTTCCTCTTGTTTCCCTGGGGGAAGAAGAGAGCGATTGTAAGAGATACAGAGGGAGCAGTATTTAATTTGTGTTTAAAATGGTCATTTAGTCATTAAGGGATAATATCCCAATCATAAAAGTTTCTGATATTTTAGTATAACTTTTATTAAAGTATAATGTGGTGTCAGAAATGAAATTTGGAGGGAAAATTTCAATTTATTTTGTGAAAAATAAGTGTTATGTCAATTTCCCCAGGAAATGACTAACTTTGTCACAAGAAAGTGAATCTCCAAAGATGTGATTTGACTTGTCAAATGATCGTAGGATGACAGCTGCTGTGTAGTTTAGCAAATAATTGAGTGGATTCTGGAGTTACTAGTCTTTTTCCGGGTTTAATGCTTAGTTGAGATTTTAAATGGCAATTAGTGGAAATGGTGTACATATTCAGTTGGAGACGATCTTTTGATTTCCAAGTTAATGAATAAAACAAAACTGTTCATACAGTCAAAAGTCTTTTGGGAATTTGAATTTTGTTTTTTTATCAAGTATCCATGATAAAAGTTTGAGCTTTTAGTTTCATGTCATCTGAACAGTAAGAAATGGAACATTTTCAAACATAAGGAGCACAAGTCTGCTCGACGAGTTGATGTGCTCTAATGTCTGAGTCATCTTATTAGTTAATGTTTACATGGCCCAACTGTTAAAGTGCATTTGGTAGTTGATAAGCATTCTGAGACACTATCCTTTTTGAAGGGTGATATATAAATGCAAGTTGTTGTTACAAGTGTCTTTTCAGTTATATTTTTCTTGGGAAATCAAACACTACACCCTTCTGTATTGGAAATTGAAATTAACAGGGGTGTTGTATGTTTTCTTGATATAGAGCAAGAACATTAGTCATGGTGGACAGGCATTTGATAAGAAACTTTAAGCATTCATTACTAAACAGTTAACTAATTGGGTAGTACAGTGCATTTTATTTTGTTTGAGCTGATCTTGATCCACCAGAAAGGTGAAATTTGTTTAGTTGTGTTTCACTTTGTGGGCTCATATGCAAAGGGCTTCTGTCATGTACTCGTTTTTGCTTTTACATAGCATTAAGGTTCAAACTGACAAGTGTTTTGTTGCTCCAAGCAGTTGTCAGTGTTCAATCAGTATTTTCACTTCAATTTTTTGTACACCTTTTGTCTAATATATTGTATAGTGGATGCCTATTGAGTTAGGAACTGTGTTAGTGTATTTAGACGTAGTTTTCTTCATTCTTTTGATGTACCTGACTGTCTCGTGACTCATTCTTTGACATGCTGTACTTCGTCCATTCTGATGAAGGGTCGTGGACCCGAAACGTTGACTCACTTTCCTTTCTCCATAGATGCTGCCTGACCTGCTGAGTGATCCCAGCAACTTCTGTTTTGGTTTTTAGATGATACTGTACACAGATTTTATATTTTCTAGGTTCCAAGTAAATGTAAAACCTAATATGGGAAAATATGAATGCTATATATACATGGTAATATCACTATGTGATAGTAAATGACACAGCAGCTACAGATTATGTGCAGAATTGGGTCTATCAAAAGTAAGATGCAATATATAATAGGATATCCACATAGAAAGACAATGACTGATTGCACCCCTGAGGCTTCTGTTATAGCTTCTGTCGTCTGTAATGAAATCTTAAGAAAGTTATTATGAAGATATGTTTGTGGATTGGTAATATGCTGTGACAGTGGTACCCTGGGGAATAACATGTTCCTGCCATTATATTGCAGGACACTTTGCCCAATATAGTTATTTTGAAGAAATAATTAGTTTTGATTTATTTAAAAAGAACTCATATTTTAGTAAGTTCAAATCATGAACCTGTTTAGATGATAATTCAGTTAGCGTTAAATTTTATTTGGCAGTTTATTTAGTCTTGAATACAATTTTGAGCTTTGTAGGATTCTGTGAGCATGAAATGAGATTCAGTTTAGTAAGGCCTTCACAACCTGTTTAGAAACCTTCTATTCAGAATAGCTAAAGAGGGCCACATTTCCATAATTCCCTCAAGTAACTGCTGTTATTCTTTTATTACCATTCTCATTGAAACGTTGTCATTTATAAAAATTGATTTCATGTCAGTAGTCTTGTTCTGGATGAAACTATACACAAATAATTTTAAACAACCAAACCATATAGTAATTTTGATCTTTAACTTTTGTAAATGTCTTAAATTTACTCCTGAATTATTAAAGTGTGCAGTGAGTTGGTAGCTAATGACACTATTCCTTGTATTTGAGATGCTTTGAAATTACTGATGGAACCTATGACACTCTTTTACTAGGCCGGTTTTGTGTGATTTTCACAACAAGAAAGAGGAGGTCCCTGTTCTGAAAATACTTCCTCAGCACTTCTACTTTAAGTTATCAGTTTGAAATATTTCAAGTAGCTATTTTTAAGCATGTTATGTAATCTGAGAACTCCCTATTGTTAGCTGCACAAAGTAAATGCATTGTAGTATTCGAAGGAAAGAGTTTGTGAATATGCCCACAAAATATACAGTAAATTCACTTTACAGTATATTCTGTGAAGCGCTTTGATAGTCTCATTGACGTGATAAGGCGCTATATCAAATGCAAGGATTAATATTAGTATTGTCTTGAACAGTATATTTTTCTTCCTGATGGCTCATTCCTTCTTCCACCCTATTTTTCAGGGCATTTGACTTTTTTCCTTCTACTGTGATATTGTTCCCATGGATACGAGTTACCCACCAGTATCTTGCTGTATAGCAGTATAGCTATTATATTTTAAGCTTGGATCGTAAGTGTTGCCAGGCTGTTTGATTCCGAGTTACCCTAATGCAGACCTGCATCGTCATCTCCATGTGCAACTGACACAGATTCCTTTAGAGAAATCTGGAGTGGGAAACTTGGATGATTTCTTCTTTCTAACTTGGGACATTTGTAATGCTCTTACTGTGACCATTTGTCAGCTCCACTAATTTAACCCAAACAGAATCAATGATGAATATTTTATAAGTTGAAATAACAGCATTTGAAAGATTAATGTACATTTGTATTTTTTTTAGTTCAACACTATGCGATCACATCATTGAGAGATGTTAGTCTATAGCTATTCATCAGCAAATGTTCCATACATTTTGTTATCTAATTTTTTTTGTGAAATGATAAGGTTCTGATCGACAAATGTAGTTCCCATATTCAAGAAGAGTTTCCAAGACACACCTAATAAACGCAGACTCATTAGCCAATTGTAAAATAATTAGAAGAAACATATAAGATGTGTTGTATGCAATTAACCTAATACATGAAAGCCATCGAGGTTTCAAAGCGTTATATCTTGCCTAAGTAGCCATGTTTTGTTTTGAGGTTCAGATCCCAATGAGAATTGACAGTGAGTAGCAGCGTTATATTGTGTAACTGATCTTCAAAAGGCCTTTGAAGTACTAGTTGATGTATCCTTGGCAAACACAAGTCAATGTGTATCAAGGGAAAGATAAAGGCATGAATTTGTAACTAGCTAAAGGGAAGGCTGTAAAAGGTAGTCATAAGCAGGGCTGGGCCAAATGATAGGGACAAACTGTGGGGGTTCTCAGAAGTTTCTATTGGTAGATCTCCTAGTCTATATTCTCAGTAGTTACATTCGTAACAAGATCAAGTTAGGAGATTCTACAAACAGAATTTTATGGGGTATGTACCTGGTGTGATTACTGGTAAATAAAATTTTACTGTAAGAACAGAAAGGTACTGCATCTAAGAAATACAAAGAGAAGGCACATGTACTCAATGGATGGGATAGAACTTGCCAAGAAGGAAAGTGAAAGATCTAGAGATATCAGTTGATTCTGCCTCATCATGTCTACAAATTGTGAGGCAGTAATAACCAAGTGAATAGGATATTGACTGAATTAATATTTTCAGAAGTGATGCTCAAGTTGTGCATTACCACAGTATTGTACATGCATTATCCTGACTGCAAATATTTTGTATGTGCACTGAAATTTCATTATATTGAATTGGAGAAAAATATTGTGAGCCTGTCTGCAAATTTCATATGAAAATCTACTTCATGGAGGTGTGTGTGGAAGGGGGAAGCAGGAAAATGGCTGTTGAATAGAGAAGTGCACAGCAATGGCCTACAAACAACCACAAAGTGAGTGATCAACTTTATCTGGGAATTGTTTGCAGGGAGAAACCGGGAGAAACTCCCTTTTCTTTTCAAATTCCATAGGATTTTTAATGTCCAAGAAGGTTTAATGTCTCATTCAAAGGATTGCACCTCCAGCAATGCACAATGCAGCACCCCCCCAGTATTGCACTGGTGTTTAGATGATAAGTGTTCCAAGTTCTGATGTGGGGCTTGACCCTACAACCTTCTGACTTGTGAGAGAGTACTGAGCCAAGCTGATACACAGTCAATCACTCAATCTAAAACTTCAAATGATAATAATCCTTGCATTTGATGTAGCGCCTTATCACGTCATTGAGACGTCTCAAAGCGCTTAACAGGATATACTGTATAGTGGATTGACTGTATTTTGTGGGCGAAATGCGGCAGCCAGTTGTGCACAGCAATGTCCCACAAACAGCCATGGAGTGAGTGACAAATTTTATTTGTGGGATAGATGGCCAGGACCCAGGGAGAAACTCTCTTCTCTTTTCGAATAGTGCCATGGGATCTTTAATATCCTCCTGAACAGGCAGATGGGACCTCGGTTCAACGACTCATCTGAAGGACAGTTAAAATGAAGCAGTATAGTTATTTGTACACCTCACTTGTTTTCTTCCTCATTTTAATTGTAAAAGGATCACAAAAATAAGTGTAACATTTAATTTTATTTTTTCACAGATGATGAAGCATGCGTGGAGCAACTACAGACAGTATGCATGGGGACACAATGAGTTGAAACCACTCTCCAGAAAGGGCTATTCCCCTAATATATTTGGTAAGAACATTGATATTTTACTGGAAGTGTTTTATTCTTGTGTTCATGCTCTCTTTTGCTTCAGTTCATTACTTGGTTAATGTAACCACATGCCTTTTGGCCAACCTTATTGTATTTAGATACTTTTTGTCAAACATGCCATGTCAGAGAGTTTGTTGTCTCATCAGAAGTATCTGAGGGACATTATGTTCCCATTTTGTTCAGCAGTATTATGCATAAATGTGCTGATCCATGGCCAAGCAAAATGGCCAACATCCAATGATTTGATACCACATCTGGTTTCTACATGGTAGAGCCAATTGCCCAAGAGTGATTTCTTTTAATATATCTCATTTGTCTTTAGATCCCTTTTAGAATTTAAATGCACATGGGAGAATTTCAGTTTTGTCAGCTTGTTTTTTTGGCATGAATCTTTCATAGCTAAATTGTTAGAAAGGTATTGGGTGAGCAGGAGGTTTGAACACTATGTTTTGTCTTTGGAACTTAGATTGAAGTTGAGGACTTGTTTGGAAAGTTCACTCACAAAGGCTATAATGGTACTAAGTGTGGGAAATGGAAATTATTGTATTCTTGCAGGAGGTTTATTGTTCCATTCAATTGAATGACAAAAGCCTAGAGATGGGTGTGGTATTGAGACCAAATTATGGTGGTTTAAAATTCATATACCTGGAGTATAATCAGTTATCTTCTTTGAACATAAATATTCTTATTTGGTATTGAACCAAATGTCTAAAAGTATTAGATATAAAAACTGAAGATTAAAGCAATCCAATTGCCAATCATAAATTTTATACGGTTTCTGCAGCATAGACTACTTGTTTACAAATGGCCATAACATATGTTTTGTACAATAAATTAATTCAGCCATAAATACCATGGAGTGCCGAGTACTAGTTGATAGTACTCTTAAATGATGTATTGGAAGATATAAACCCTAAAGTTTACTGTCATCCTGACATCTTCTGGTAAAAGTTGTGAAAGATGAACCTGCAATAAAGCACAATTGAGTTCCCTAAATTCATAGAATGAAACAAGGTCCAGTGCATTATTGGTCCAATATCTGGACTTGGAGCAATGTTGACGAGTTGCTTACCTACTTACCGCCTATAAAGGTGGGTTGTGTAAAATAGAGACATTTTAAAAATGCTGGGTAGTGGGGAGAAGAAGGGTATAATACAAAAAAAATTGCATTTATATAGTGTATGCCTGAACTCTAATTATTTGGGGAAATTGGGGATATTAATTCAGAGGCCCAAAGTTCTAATGATCCTCGCCTAAAAACTATTGCTTTAAAATTTAAGAATGTGAAGTATTTTTAATTCATAAATTCGCTTTGAATTTCGACATTGATTTTCTGGCATTCTTAAAAAGAGCTCTTTGGAAATCTCTTTCATATCAAGGCTGAGTTCGAGAATATTTTTCAAAATTCCGTGCAATATCAATTTTTAACTCGACTGCCGGCAGGTTAAAATCTATGATGGACAAAAATGGCCATCTTATTAAATTGCCTTTGATATCATTTCCCACTTAAACAAGAAATGATGTTGAGTTGACTTGCCAACCTGGCATTTGGCCATTTTTTCTTTACAACAACAAAATTACATTTATAGAGCGCCTTTCACATCGGGAGGGTGTCTCAAAGCACTCACTCACTCACACATACACTCATAACTGACACACGTTCACACTGACACTCACAACGTACACACACTCACAACGTACACACACTCACAACGTACACACACTCACAACGTACACACACTCACAACGTACACACACTCACAACGTACACACACTCACAACGTACACACACTCACAACGTACACACACGCACAACGTACACACACGCACAACGTACACACACGCACAACGTACACACACGCACAACGTACACACACGCACAACGTACACACACGCACAACGTACACACACGCACAACGTACACACACGCACAACGTACACACACGCACAACGTACACACACGCACAACGTACACACACGCACAACGTACACACACGCACAACGTACACACACGCACAACGTACACACACGCACAACGTACACACACGCACAACGTACACACACGCACAACGTACACACACGCACAACGTACACACACGCACAACGTACACACACGCACAACGTACACACACTCACAACGTACACACTGACACAAACAGTCTCACCCACACTTACACACACACTTTACTACGGAAACAAGCTGGCAAACAGCATGTAATCTGCACCAGCAATGTCACATAGAGCCAGAAGTCCCTGCTTTCCTTTGAAATACTGCTGTGGGATATTTGATGCCCACGTGACCACCAGAACAGGCATTAAGGATCTCAGTTTACTGAAGGGCAGCACTTCACATTGCCATGTTTTTTTCCATATCATGTGGAATATCAGTATAGATTTTAACATCAAGTCCTTAGTGCGGATCTTGAAAAATCTTCTAGCCTGGGGCCAAGTAAGATACCACTGAGCTAAATTGACAAAGTTGCATCTCTACTTTTATTAAGAGGCTTGAATTACACAGCTCCTTTGCCTATATAACTTCATGCCATTTTTCATTGTTATTAATTTAGTTCCGTCAAGGGGATGTTAAGGGACTCCTTTTCTTCCCCACCCCCGACATTTTTAAGGAAAGGAAATTGGAGTTTTTCTCCCTTTTATCATGGCTTATGTTTTTTCCTCATTCAAATCCTTCTTCAAAACTTGAGTGATTGAATACATCATTGCTGGTACAAAGTAACTACTGCATTCGCTGACATAATAATATTCACTTTATTTCTAATTGATCTCATTTTGTAAAGTGGTTTGAGATATTTATTTTCTGTGATAAATTTTTTATAAGTGCAACTGTATAAGTGCATTAAAGGCTTAAATTGCAAGCAGCACTCTTAGACTGAAACTAAAATCTGCTCATTGCTGGACACATGACATCACAGTGAATGTCTTGGAAGTGCTTCTTGACCCCTCTGCTTTCTGAACTGATGTTAGAATCACTTTTTTTGCCATCAAAGCTGGAGTTGGCTGATGTTGATAAGATAACTCTCAACTTGAATGTCAGGATTCCGACGGCAATGCACCTTGCATGTATGAATCATCGAATGAATCACTTAGAGGTGACCCTGCTATTTTGAAATGCTTTCAGTTTCAATGGTGAACAGTAGTCAGCTCCTGTGACGTTTCTTAAGAAAGAGATGTAAGCTTCAATATTGGGTAACTGTTGTCATTTTCTCAAGAAACAATGTATTTTTATGGCATTCCCTCATTTCCTTCTGATTCTCTAGGCGCTGCAAAATCAAAAAAAGAATATAATTGGAATAGCACCATATGAATCCAGGATTTTAAAAAATATTCCGGGGTTAAATAGAGCTTGCTCTCTGAATGAATATACAGTGGAATCCGTTTTTGCCGGACGTCGGGTAAATTAAACAAAACACCCGTTTCGATTCATTTGTATTCTTGCATGTTTTAAATATGTCTGGTAATGTGGAAAATCCAGTTACTCTGGGCAAAATGCAGTGCTGGTCCCCGCTGAATGTGTTCATTCAGGCCTTCTGTCTGTCCCTTCAGCCACGGAGGACACGAGGATGTAGATGGGAGGAGTCAAATTGCGTTTGCAGCAGACGCCAGCCGTTCACAAGCAGCTGGAGTTGCGCTGTCAATCAGTGACGGGGCGGAGGAATGGGGGCAGAACAAGGAAAGGAAATCGCGATTGATTGACAGCTGAGCCGCTTGTGAATGGGTGGATCCCATCCATTCACTAATGGCTTCAGGCTGTCACTCACCTCAGCTGCCGCGAATTGATCCCCTTTCTATCCAATGTGAACATCAGTGGGAGGGAGGAATTGCCGACACTGGAAAAAACTCGCTTCTCGTTTCAAAAAAGTGTAAAAATACTGTCCATCTGAGAGATAGAGGAGACCTCTGTTTGTTTCATCCGAAGGATAGCATCTCTTAGGAGGCAGTACTTCTCCAGCACCACACTGTAGCAGTAGCCTCGACTATGAGCTCAAAGTCTCGCTGTGAGGCTTAAACCCACAACCTTCTTACTTGGAGGTGAGGGTGCTCCCAGCTGAGCCAGGACAATTGGTATTCTTGACCAACATATTTCTAATTCTAATATGCGTTGAGGGTGTTACAAATCATGTTCACCAAAGTGAACGTTCTCTTTCCGATAGCTTCAGTTTGACTGGAGCTTTATGACCTTGCTATTTTGGTTTCCTTTGCGGTTCAGGCTTGCTGTTGTCTGTTTATCACTGTATGCAATTTGTTAAAATATCATTTTCACCTCTCTTCAATCTCACACAATTGCAAGAGTGCTTCAATGCAAATTGTTCTGATCTGGTGAATCCAGTACTAAAGTATGCCCTGATGGATATGAAATATGTATAACTAGTATGTAGTTTCAATCAAATACATTTCAGTGCAGTTAAATCAAATGCAGTATTTCTCTGTGCCAACCTGTTTCAAGTGTGTAACTCCACCAATTGTTTTATGAATTAATCCATGCAAATTGTAAGCAATATAATTGTATCTTAAAAATGATGTTGAATTAACAAAAAGACATGTTTGTATGAATTGAAGATATTTTTGGTTTGGATGTTTGGCACTGATACTTTTCAATAGGTGGAATAGTTTTAAACACTTTATGCAGTAACATTTTATTGTTTTCAAGCGAAACATGTGTAAGAACTTCAGAAGACATGGTGGGGATCATTCTTTGCTTGTTCATCCAGAACTCTGCAGCTCATGTCCTCGCCCGCACCGCACCCTATCACCCCCATCCTCGCCCGGCTCCATTGGCTCCCCATCACTCAGAGGATACGTTTCAAGATCCTGGTCCTCACCTTCAAAGCTCTCTACGGCCTTGCTCCTCCCTTCCTCCGTGACATCCTAACCCCTTACCAACTTGTCCACTCGCACCGTTCAGCAGGCTCCGGCTTGCTTTATGCCCCCACCTTGCCCGCCCCACCATTGGCGGGCTGGCC